AAAAAAAAAAAAATTTACTTAAAAAGTAAGTTGTTCAAAATATATTTTCAGAAAAAATATATATATATTTTTAAAAATCTAATCCACTATGTTATACCAAATGCACCCTTATAACTGTTAAGGGATATAATTTCATATCGAATAAAGATGTAAACATAAACCAACTTATAAAGTTTTGGGTTACTCCTCTTAACAAGATTAACATTTTAAGATTGAATCTCAAATCTTAAAATGGTGTTAGAGTCCATTAAGCTCTAACAAGCATACAGATTCGATTAAAATTTCAAAAGTGAGCATACAGATTTCAAGATTGGTCTACTCAAACGAGTCACCATCTTACGGGGGTATGTTAAGGGATAGAATCACATATCGAATAAAGATATAAACATAGAACAACTTATAAAGAATTGAGTTACTCCTCTTAATAAGGTTGACATTTTAAAATGGAATCTCAAACTCTTATAAATTGATATATGTTTTCATCTTTATTCGATGTGTGATTCTTTCCCTTAACATGCCCCGCAAGATGGTTGCTCGTTTGAGCAGACCAATTTTGAAATCCGTATGCTCACTTTTGAAATCTTAATCGGATCGAATTGCTCGTTAGAACCTAATGGGCTCTGATACCATGTTAAAATTTTAGGTTTCATCTTAAAATGTCAACCTTATTAAGAAGAGTAACTTCATCATTTATAAGTTGGTCTATATTTTTCATATTTATTTGATGTGAGATTTTTTCCTTTAACATGCCCCCCAAGATGGTGATTCATTAGAGCATATCAATCTTAAAATCTATGTACTCAATTTTTTTGAGTCTTAATAGGATCGAATTACTCGTTGGAGTTTAATGGGCTCTAATACCATGTTAAGAATCGAAGTTCCATCTTCAATGGTCAACATTATTAAAAAGAGTAATTCAATCCTTTATAAGTTAATTTATGTTTACATTTTTATTCGATGTGAGATTGTATCCTTTAACATGCCTTGCAAAATGGTTGTTTGTTTGAGCATACCAATCTTGAAATCCATATATTCACTTTTGAAATCTTAACCAAATCGAATTGCTCGTTAGAGGTTAATGGGCTCTGATAACATGTTAAGATGTAAACATAAACCAATTTATAAAGATTTTGGTTACTCCTTGTAACAATGTTGACCTTTTAAAATGGAAACATAAATCTTAACAATAACTTTCACCATTGTTGAGGAATGTAAAAGCATCTTCAAAAGACACTTTAGATACATAACAGTCTTTATTTTAAAGAGTTAATGTTTAAAAATAATCTACAAGAGACTATTTTAATTTTTTGAAATAGAGAATGATTTTGACTTTTCAAATTTAAAGAGTTAAACTGAAAATAATTTTTTCTACATGGTCATTTTTAATGCATATTCACACAATAAAAGATTGGACGTGGAAACTTAAACATTTTCTATACTTTTTAACTATTCATTCTCCTAAAAATCATTATTCAAAATATTGTTTTCTCTCAAATAATGGTCATCAAATAGGGGCTAAGCCCCCATTTGGTGCACATTTTTGGAAAAAGAATACATTTTTACTGTTGATGTGATAGGGATTATGTGGTTGAAAAAAAATGAAATGTTATTGATGTAATAGAAAATATTATTTTATTAAAAAATGTGTGGTTGAGAATGAATAGAAGAATGAGAATATTGAAATTTGGTAACTTACTAAGTGTGTGTTTGGTAGGGATTTTTTGGGAGAAGAATTGATTTTGAATAGTGATATGATGGGAAATGTGTGGTTGAAAAAGAAGATAAGATTATTGATGTGATAGAAAATATTATTTTATTGAAAAATGTGTGGTTGAAAATGAGAATTGATTTACTATTGAAAATGAAAATTGATACCAAACATAGCCTAAATGCAGTAATTTAAATTAAGAATATAGAGTGAGTTTAACTCAGAGATTTCAAACTATTCAAGTCACAATTAGCCCACGTTTTATGGTCCTTATTTGGGAAAAACAATATGTTGAATAGTGATTTTTAAAAAAAATGTGTGATTAAAAAGAAAGAAAAAATTTTGAAATTTACGTACAGAATATTTTATTGTGTGAATGTACGGTTGAAAATGAGTATATAGTAAAAAAAAGTTTTCAAATGATGATCATCAAACGGGGACTTAAACCGATTGATCATTGACATATGAAAAAATATATTAAATATAATATGAGAAATCAATAATTATTTCTTGAAAAAACCAAAATAAAGAATCAAAATAGAAAACATTGTTAGTGTATAAATTTTTTGTAAAAAATGCCCTCTATAATGCATAAGACTATAAATAATTTGTTTTTTCTTGGAGATGCTCATTAGAGTAATTTACCATGTGCGATTAATGCGCTTAATTACGTCTTCTTGAGAATGATAATGTAAACCATTTAGGAATCCATAATTAATGGCGTTGACTGAAAATATTTTTGCATTATGACGTAGTTAAACACTTTAATCATTATTTGACATGACATATAACCACTCAATTCATTAATTTGTGTTGATTATATGTCATTATGTTCTTTTAAACGTATACAAAATTATATTAAATTAATTAAAATTGTCACCATATAAAAAGGGAAAATTGTATTGTATCCCCAACCTTTCAATTAGTATAACATTGAATCCCTAACATCTAAAAATAAGGTTCTAAGCCTCCAATTTATTTAAATCAATGAATATAATCCTCCACGTGATGGAAACGTCACGAACGTTAAAATCACACGTATCATGTGATTTATAATTGGAGGAAACATCGTCAAATCATTTAACATTCAACTTAAGTCACAAAAAATCGATTGCAATTTAAACATCCACGTGAACAAATTTCATCCAATAGAGATCCAAATACAAATTTAAATAAAATAAAGTACCCAAAAACCTCAAAAGTGAGTTAGAGACCCAAACTGCTAACTAAAAGTTTAAGGAGTAGATGTTATTTACCATGTGTTCATATACTCGTTCAGCACGTTTGGTATGCAATACTCAATAGAATTAGCCGGTGCACAGATAGAGAAATGTATGCAAACACAGGTAATACATGATCATAAAACGTGGTGATATATTAACCAAAGTCAGCTAAATATTTTTCAGTTGCTCGTGCAATGCAGAAAAAGTCGCAAGCCAATCACAGTCGTAAGCAACTATTTTAATTTTCACAAGCTGTTACTAAATAGCCTAAAAGAATTATCACACATCATGTACAACAAGAGTGAAGACTTCCCTTCCAAAAACAAGACTAAAAAGAAGGCAGAAATCCTAGTAATACATAGTGCAAGAGGGATGTCACCATTAAAGCCAATCGCGACTCTCATTTGAGCATGCATTGACCCTTCAACGAGCTATTCAAATAAATAGACAATTGAAACAGTTGAGTCAATTGTGGTTTCAGTTGTTCCAATTGAAATACCTGTCACCAGCAAACCTTTCAGCAGAAATGATCCACCGCGAAATCTCAAATTCTTCAAGATGATATCGGTTCATAAGGATATTGTAACCATGGGTGTTTTAAAGCTTGTGATGCAGAAGGTCGCTTCTTTGGGTTTATTTCAAGCAGATAAGCAACGAAGTCAATGAAGCCCTGGTCACCCATAGGCAATCGATGCCTCAAGGATGACCTTTTGGGTATCAAGTATTCCAGTCTGTTAGTGTCCTGAGAAAGATAGACAAGATGAATACATAAAATGGTGGTAACGAGCATGGCATGGAGTGTTACTAAATGTTCACAATTCAAAGGGTGGGAATTAAAAATAAAAAAATAAAACTGAGCAATGTTATCAAAAAGTTTGTGCGTACATGTTTTGTATATCTAATTTTCCATATCAACAGCTACAACTGTTTGGTTTCTTCTCAGTCAAGGAAATAAAGGATTGAGAATAGAGTTTAATGAAACTTAAGACACATTGACATATGTCAAGAGTTCTCATGATATGCAATTAAACGACAGTTAAGTCAAGCACCGGCTTGGGGGATAATTCAAGCTCCATGATTTCACTTTCAAGATCCTCTCTTTTTTTAATGCATAAAAATCAACTCCGGTTCCACTAAAGCCTGCTGGTCCTGTTTTCCAAGAGAGGCAATACTACCCTCAGTAGAATGCTGCATCGATTCATTTTATCTCTTAATTTTTTTATTACAGCAGAAGATAAATGAATATTAAGCCCCTGTTTGGTTAAGATAAAAATCAAGTTTTTAGTAGATTTTGATTAAAGTTGATGAAATGTGTGGTTGAAAAGTTGTGGATCCCATAAAATGTGGTTAAAATTAATTATTGACTTTGACTTAGATTTTAATTTAACTTTTTTGCTGAACCAACCAGGGGTTAAGCAGTCACACCAATGAGAACAGCAGAATGGTGGAAAACTCCTTAGCTCAAGTACAAGATGTCCATGTTGCATCCATTTTGTTATCTATGACCAACTCCACAAGTCAAGGTTCACTCAAATGGATATTACCATTAAGTTGGCTTTCATAGAACCTACAGGACTCGCTTTAAACCATATATCTTGTCAACGCAGTTGAGCAACTAAACAACTGACTCAAAATGCTTAACCCTGTGTTAAAAAAATGAATTACACTGGTGCATATAAACAAATTATACCATCCTCCCACAATCAATATAGAACAGGTTTTCAATGGGTTAAGGGGCTGTCAGATGCAGTGGTGCTAGGATTTGTTTGAAGGAAGTTGCAATGGAGCATTGATAGCAATGTGGTGCATGAAATATAGAATTTGATATTAAGAGATATTTTTGTACCCTAAATAATAGTGGTTGAGGTGGTATAAATTATAGGACAGTATCATGAACTCCAATGCTAAAAAGAAAAGGACATCAAATATCAGCACCTAAAAGAATTGACAATGAAGGACAGATTATCAGAACTAAAATTGCAATATTAATTAGCGCCCACCATATAAGCTGCACGAAATATTTATCAAGCAACACATCTATGTAATAGGAACGGTAGGAATTAATGTTCATTATGATCCCAACTCTGGCAGACCCATCTTTGAATAAGAAACCCAAAATCATAACCATAATTATATTCCCTTACATTGTAACTAGCTGGTTTTATAGTATTTAACGAAGAGTATTTTGTTTGGCACTTTAGGGGAGAATTATAAACAAAAGCCGAGAAGGAACATTACCTGGTTCCTCTCATACAGCATGTGATTTTTGGTGAAATATTTGTACGTCTCTCGTCCTTTTGCAAGCATTTCTTGGTCGACAGGGCCTACGATTCCAATCACTCGAGCAAGTAAAGTGGCAGTAGAATCATTTTGGAAGAGGACCTATGCAACAACATTGCTTTAATATTATTCCCGAGTTTCAAGAAGCAATATCAGAATAACTGGCACGTGAGGATCGATGAATAGAGAACGACGAAGAAATATTCAGCTATAAATAGGAAATCAATAACCAAATGTGTATTGGTAGTTAATATCAAAACAACAAATTAAAAAGAGACTAAACAAATATCATTTTGTCTATCCTTCAGGTTCTGTAATGCCTTCATGTCATCGCTAAAATCTATATACAATTCCATAAAAAACACAAGATCCCAAGGCATCTCATTCCAGACGACAAATATATTATAATTTATACATCAACTTTTCATTGAGCACATGAAGTCCGTGCTCGTCAACACTTACACTTTAGAAGTATAATTGCTAATTGAGCCAGGCTAAATCAAACACCTTACACCTCAACTAGCTATCACTCAAAAAACACGAGCCCAACCAATGAAGAACTGGCAGAGGTCATTTCCTCACACCCTAATTGACTTATTCAAGTATCTGATACTTCAGGTGAAAGAATTTATCTATTTCTAAAAATGTACCTATCCCACTCATTAAATTATAAAATCTTCAAGCAAGTGAAAGGAGAAACAGTGAACTATCAGATTTTAGTTCGAGTTATCCTGTTTTGCCCTGCCTATCTGATTCTGGGATTTAATCATCTGAAATAGGCATGAAAGTAACAGCACTTTAAATTTTCGCAACCACGAATATAAAAAGATACTTTGATCTTTTATTGCAGTTTCAGGAACACAATTGAATGAGTGATAGTCTTGAGCACTATCACTCTTTACTAATGTCTTAGACATACATCCTTTGGTCTGCTTTCATATCCAGCTGCAGAACCTTTTGCATCTACATGTGACGTGAACTAGTAACTAAATATTATGAGACGGAACCAAAAAGATGACAATGTGATTTCTTATCAATTGGTCTCCTGGTCCAGAATAAAAGACAATAAATTGGATCATAACGTGTCATTGGAAGTTAGGAATATGCAGTATGCTAGAATCAAGGGGAAAACAAACTCAATCGGTAAGATGGATCCTTTGCCCATCTCCAATATATTAAAACCTATTAACTTTCCCACCTTTTCAGCCTATCACAAACCATGACCAGTCTACAAATTCCTGCTCTCCACTTCTACACAAGAAAGTACTTCACCACATTTAGCCCCCGTTTGTCCCTCATTAAATTTATAATTCATTTTTCTCTCTCTTTTTATCAACCACACATTCTTCAATAAAATAATATTACAAGTAATCCCAAAACTTTTTCTTCTTTTTTAACCCCACATTTAAAAAAAAAAAAACACTATTCATATCTCTAAGGGCCTTCTGGACAGAAAGATATAGCATTTCTCTAGTGACTTCATGGTAATTAATTAAAAGTATAAAAAAACCTGGCAGAACTATCACCTGAACCATGGTATCAATCCATAAATAAAATACAGTGTCCTAGCAAGGAAAAGGGGGTGGAGTGAGTGAAGAAATAAAAATAAAACTGTGATGTAGGAAAAGAAAATAACCATTTAACAGATCTATCCGGAAAATACTGCTAAAAACAATGGAGATGCCCTGTATTAAAGCTAGAATCCTGCAACTGCGAGAAACTTACGTTGCCAGTGCAAAGTTCTGCCAAGATGCAACCAAGTGACCAGATATCAATTTTTTTATCATATGGAAGTCCCAAAATAACCTCTGGTGCACGATAGGACCTGGATTGAACATAAGAACAAAGATGATCTGTTTCAAAGCAACTACTTCCCAGATCAATGACCTTCACCTCACATCTACTGTAACTTTTAACCAAGATATTCTCGGGCTTCAAATCACAATGTAAGAGGCCAAGACTGTGTAAGAATTGAAGCGCTTCCAAACACTGAATAGTAATTGACTGCACAATTAAAATCATTTAAGTCAGTGACTGAAACTCCAGTGAGATTATAGCCCACAGGGACAGCCTTGCCACATACCTGCAATCTTGGCATCGTAAAGTAGACCTCCCCTCCAGACTCTCTATTAAATTTATGAAATTCATACAGATTTGCTTTAAGTAATTCACATACAATCAACAAGTGCTCCTGCAAATATAGAAAAGGTTTAAGGCACGATCATATCTACAATATACAAGCAGCTTAAATCCATGATCATCACGCATGACATTAGGCACACATAAGAGGAGTATACATGGATAAATGCTTATTTTTTATTATATGTGATGAGCATTCAACAGTAACAGACTTGCCAAATTCATTTCAGTTATATCTTTTTGTAAGTATACCATTTATCTTCTCCACATTGGGCTTAACAAATGTCCAAGGCCTGAAAGATTTAATTTTAATTTTACAATAAGCTGGAGGAATTTTTAAATCAGCATTTCTCTTTCTTCTGGGTTGGTGTTAGCATTTATAAACAGTGTACATGAAAAAGGCAAACCATTACAGAATAAATACAGGAAACTTGTGATACCTGCATTTGCAATCAGCACAGGAGAAAAAATCTGTGTAATGTGAAAGTATAAGAAGTGAAAAAAAAAAATTAAAAAAAATTGCATATAAGTGATATTTTAATGGAGAACAGCAAGCAGTTTCAGAGTTAATGTTCCCAGACCATAACAACCATTCATGTACATGCTTGATCAGACATGGAAGCAAAAGACAGATCTAATACAATCTCTTCTAGATCACAAGTAGAAATCAACTTGGCTAAATTCTACAAAGTGAATGCTTAAATGAAAAATGGAGTATGATTCAAAAGAATGGAGGAACAAAGTCACTTACGCGGTAATAGAAATAATCATACAACCGGAGAATATGATATTTGTCAGCAGGGTCATGCTTGTTGATATACTTGAGAAGCTTTATTTCATCAAGGCTCTGATCAAAAAAATCCTTGTTATTCTTTATGATCTTCACACAAACATCCATTCCAGTCTGAAGATCATGCGCCTGAATGGCTTTGCTAAATGCAGCAGATCCAAGATACTCAGTCACGTGATAGCGGCCAGCGATGACTGAATTTAAAACAACATGGAAATTTTTGTCCTCCTCAAAACCAGTTCTGAACAACAAATCAAAGCCCAGTTAATGAACAGTAATTGAAAAAAAGAAGAAAAAGAAAAGAAAACTTGATGTGGAGTTATTTGGAAATGTAAAGAGCCCAGAGAAAAAGTGGAAAACAGAATTTCGTGGCAAGGGTAATACAGAATACACCATTGTTGCTGCCACTTCAGAGGCTCAACCTCCTCAACCAAAATCTATGATAAAAAATTATATTTTGAAATGTAAAGACCCATTTGAGCCACTTACCATGATCAGATGTTTGGATAAGAAATACATGTTCTCAGGCAAATAGCATTTCTATAGCCAGGTTTAAAAGCTTTAAATCTTCTGAATCTGAATGTACACAACTTATGTAGGGAAAACCTGTTCATGATAATCCTAATTCCTATCCTTAAACCAAAACTAGTGTCAAGCTATTCATTAAAAGAAACAGCTGTACACAGAATGCAGACCTATGCTGCGTGATATATAGCTTCATTATCCGTTGTTATTATCCTAAAGATTGATCTCAAATTTCACTTTCAAAATTGTCCAAGCCAGAGCTATAATGAGGCTATCTATTAAAACAAATATGGTTAACATGGGTTTTGATCTTTCCATGTGCTATCATCCACACATAAGACTAATTAGTTTATATTTGATATGCAGTAAATAGGGCCACCCAGTTTGAATAATGAAGACTGGCACAGCTGATATGAAAGTTTCCTTGAAAAGTATGAAATTAATAGCAAGAATCATTCGTGATTATATTAATATAAAAGATGAAAAAAATGCTTGCCTGTTTTTCCTATGGACAATCTTAAGATCGAAGGTTTCAAATTCCTCCTCTTGTGCCTTTATCTGCTTTACTTGCTCTTGCACAGCAGTAGCTTCCTCATCCTCCAATGAAGCGCCAAGATCTTCTCTCACACTTGCTGTGATCACATCCTCTTCTTCCTTTAAATGCTCCCTTTCAATGTAGCCATAATTTGAAAGAGATGTGGGGCTAGAATTTGCTGATCCGCCAGTGTTAGCATTGTCTTCATCCCTTGAACTCTTGACTGGGGAAGAATAACTGCTTTTATGCCTCTGTGAAGCCAGCATGTCATCATTGTCCACCATACAGTCATCAGCTTCGTCACTGACAACAGCATTGCCCTTGTTTGACCTCTGCGCCAACTGCCTGGCTCTAGGAGGAGGAAATGAGAACCCCACATCCATTTGATTCTTTGCCTGTTTACATGTACCAATATCATTATTCATTATATACTTACCAGAATTATGTTTGCTTGATCTATTTTTTTCTTCCTTTGATTGTTCACTATATTTTTTATCTAAGTCATACTGTGAGTGTCTAGATCCACCATAACCTACATCACGATCATGAAAGTACTCTAAGTCCCCCTCACTACTACCTCCAACGAGACTTTCCCGAACTTCACTACCAATATCAGCAGCGTCGCTATTAATCCCCACACCAATGGATCTAACTGAACCGTGTTGATCATCATCCATGCAACTATCATCCAAATGGGGCCTTCCAAATTCATTCAGAACTTTTCCATCCCCTAACATTATAAGTTCATTTGCCTGAGTTACAAAGCCCTGCCAGACAGGCTCCGACCGCATCAAATTCAGTTCCTCCTCATCCATCAACTGTCCATTATAATTCCCATCATTTCTCCTATACATTTCAGTCACTGACAGCCCAATAGGATCATCTGAAGGTAAAACTGGATTGACTTTTTTTGATTGGAAATACCTTTCTCCAGAAAGGTAGGAATCCTCTTCTAAAAAAGACTGATCATCTTCATCGTCTTTGTTTTGTTCTCTTTTTTGACGGTCTGGAACACTCCCATTCCCTGTACCTTTTTCATTGTCGCTTGGGTAGTCAATTTCATGTGCCAAAAACCAGGTCTCATCTTCAATAGGTTGTCTCATGTAGCCAACATCATCGTCATCTTCATATTCATCTGAGTCCCAGTACTCATTCTGGTAGTCAGCAGATTCACTCAATCCATCACCAATGGTTGCAAAACCAGAAACAAGATCAGAATTATCCTCGGTTATGCCCTGACTCACTGAGAGCCAACTACCTCCTGCAGGCCTTTTCATTACTGTGTGTCATTGCAAGGAAAAATTATTATTCTAAAGTCAAAGAGGGAAAATAGTGAAACAACTACCTGTTAGATAATTATATTAAAATCATTATATTATTCAATGTATCAGAAAATGCAAATGTAATTTAAGCATTGCAATTTTGAGGACAAACCTAAAGGATTGATTTCTTGTCCAATAGGTACATCCAGAAATGAACCTATCAGATAAGCGTTGTCAGTTTTCAAGATCTTTGGACCAGGCCAATCCCGTTCAAACTTCTCCTCCCAGTGAATATTGATGGATTTGTCTTCTGATTTGAGTCTCACTGGTGGCAACCTCGGTAACTCTTCCTTTTTATTCTCAGATGCAAGTTGAAAACCTAATGCACTGAAATCTTTTGACTTGCCTCCTTGAGTCTTCCCAAAGTATAGAGACCTTCCCACCTCATCCACTTGCTCTTTGATTGCTGCCCTGACGTCTTTAAGATCCGTTTTCATTTTTACCTCCTTTTTATCACCAATCCCAATAGAATTATCATAACTGGTTGAAGCATCCTCATTGTAGAAGGGAAAAACGGTTTTAACAGGACAATCTTTCCACATCTCTGATGTTGGATGGACAAAATCATCATTTCTGGACCATGGATGATCTACAGGGTCATCTGTGGAGCCAGCATTGCCTGTATTTCTTTCTCGATCAACTTCCTTAAGCTCATTCTTTTCACTCCTCTCATGTTTTGTTTGCACATTGGCTTTACTGCTACTCGCAGGCCAAGATGTTCTCTTTTCATCTGAGAAACTATGATCTTCCCCCGATTTTGAATCACCCACGCCACTATCAAGAGCCTTGGTTGTATTCAACCTTGACTTCTCGGAAACCTGAACTGAAAAGTTGTTTCCTGCAATGCTTCCTCCATCATTCTGGCAAGGAACAGGACCATTGCTTGGACTGTATTTCAATGAACACAAATCTAGCACGGTATCATCTGAAGTCTCAGAAAAAATAAGGTGCTTACCACTCAACCCAACTAACTCATTAACCTTCCTCTGCTCCTCCATACTACCACAACTTTTCCACTTGCTATCAGGCCCATTTCTCCCTATTCCGCATTTTATCTCTTTCACAACTAGCTCCTTCGAAACCTCCTTGCTACTTCGAGAACTTGTTGTCTCCTTAATACCTGCCCCACTACTCCAAGAATTTGTTATTTTTCGATCTTCTTCAACTACTTTTCCCCCATTTACTTCTTCACCCAATTTACTAGCCAGCGCCTTATCTTCTAGCATAAGCTTTTGAAAAATCCCAGTTAAATCAGTCCTATTACATAGCTCACTTCGCAAAGCAGCCTCTGCTTTGATAAATTTATTCTTTTTCAGAAATTCTAATATAACATCTACTGAACTCGAATCTTCCATTTACATACAAACACTTCCTACTAATCCAAATAACCAGATGCTAGAAATACCATTCAACTAGACCTGAAAAAAAAAAAATCCAATATTCATAACTCAATTTCAACTACATTTCAAAATCGTATTAAAGATCATTGCTAATACAATGTAAAATCTGATTCAGTAAATTTTATTAGCTCGAAGCTCTAATTTCCTCTACATATAAACCATTGCAACAACGTAAAAACAAAGTTTCCATGAATCCTAGTAATAAAAAAACTTTAGCTATGTTTCATAAAGATCTGTGCTTTACCGAAGCCCTAGAAAGCATAAGCACTTCCAGAAAGAACAATATAGGAACGGATTCAAAATGTAAACGATTACTGGAATTTTAAATCAAACAAAAATGGAAAAATTGAAATTTGAGTAAAATGAGAAGCTTACAGATCGAAGAATATGTTACTTCTGGAACCAAACAAGATGCCATTGATTCCATCGCCGAAATTTTGCGAAGGTGACCAAATATCTTCCCTTTTTGTAAGTGAATAATATAGCATTTGTAAGAACAGTAATTAAATAATACGAATAAAATGAGAATTCCATTTTTTTTTCTTTTCATTTTTAATATTCGGTGGGGGTATTGCAATTAAGCCTCTGTTTGGTATCCATTCTTTTTTTCATTCTCATTCTTCTATTAATTTTCAACCACACATTCATTAATAAAATAATATTTTTCATCACATCAATAACTTTTCCTTCATTTTCAACCACAAAAAAGGTGTGATTTGACACAAAGAATACATTTTTTTCTAAAATAATGGTTACCAAACGGTGCCTAAAAGTTCCGGTTTTAATTAGTAGAAGAATGAGAATGAAAAAAAGAATGGTTACCAAACGGTGCCTACATTTTAATTGCATGAAAGGTTCATAACTTTTACACATTATCACATTTAAGGTGTGATTTGACACAAAGAATACATTTTTTTCTAAAATAATGGTTACCAAACGGTGCCTAAAAGTTCCGGTTTGTCCCCTTTAAATTTTTAAATGATTTGTGACAGTATCATTTTTCACCATACATTCAAATAATAAAATATTCTATATATAAATCAATAAAATTTTCTTTTATTCATCAATTTGCCATTCTATAATACATTACAAGAAATTGATGGCTGTCAAACATGGCCTAAGCTACTCCTTTTGTGCTTGACATCCTCTACGACCCCATGTGTAGAAAATCATACCATTGATTGGAAAGAATATTGTTAAAATCAATATGTAGAAAATTGTTAGTTCTCACAATATCATTTATAATATCAAACTTGATATATACTAAGCAAAACCGGTGGTTTTGTAGCGCTTTTGTGTTTGTACTTTTGGTAAGTTGAATTCAGGCTATTTTAATTTGTGACCAATGAGAGATCTGACTCATTTCATTACGAGCCCATTAGTCAAGTCAAGCTCAAAAACTAAAATCCATGGACTGGTTCATAGGCAGGCTCGCGGTGCTTACACCTTTTGTCCATCGAAATTTATTCAAGAACTCGTAGCAAAAAAAAAAAAAAAAATTCCTCTCGAAGTTTTGTGCAAAAACTTCATTAGAAAACTTGAATAAAGGATTCTCAAATGCCTAGCAGTTCTTTCATACCAATCATATAGCATGAAGGTTGGGTCCTTGTAATTCTTCCTTTGGAGCAATGTAAACTTCCTTGAATTTTATTCTATGTTATAATTTTTTTTATATTTTTCTTTAAATATGTCTAAAAAAACTCAAAAAAGCCTGTGGGCTAAGCTAACTCGATGTGGGCAAGGTTCATGGTTGAGTCGAGCTTGAGTGATCGGTCCATTGTCACTCCCAACATTGCGTGATTTAGTTTGGTGAGATATTGTTCGTACTAATAAATAAATTGCATCGAGCTAGTATTAATTGGAACTTTATAAAATATATCTTTGTTTGATGATGGTCACTATTTGAAAAAAAAAAAATTGAATAGTAATTTTTTGGAGAATTTGTGATTAAAAAGTGAAAAAAAAAATTAAATTTATGTACAAAATATTCTATTGTATAAATTTGTAATTTAAAATAAGTATGAAAATTAAAGAAATAATAGGGCTATAATTGGTATGAAGGTTTTTTTAAGATGGATATGAGTTTGGTTATGTGGTGGCCCGGGGGCCCAATGGAAAATAATAGAGTAGGTACTAATATGACGCGGGTCATGATTTGTGACAGTGATACATACAAATAATTTAAGTTGTACAGCCAACCAATGGGCCAAGTGAGTGTACAAGACACGTTGATTCCTATTTATTGATTAATGATGTTTAGACCTTGTTTGATTTTCATTATTTACACTTTTTTTTCTTTTTTTTAACTATACATTCTTCCACAACTCATTTTCAACCACACGTTTTTCAATAAAATAATATTTTCATCACTTCAATAATTTTTCTTTGCTTTTTAACCACGTAATCTCCATCGTATTACTATTCAAAATATATTCTTTTCTCAATAATATTCAGCAAAAAACACACATTCTCCATCAATCTACTATTCTAAAATGCATTATTTCAATAACCTGGGAAACAAACAGACTCTTAACCTCCTGTTCAGTAGATATTAAAATTTTAATTTTAATTTAAATCAAATTCAATAATGAATTTTAACCACATATTCCATGAGGTTCATAAATTTTCACTTACAAATTTCATCAACTTTTATCAAAATTTACAAAAAAATCTAATTTTTAGAACGAATATATTCATATAATCGAGGATGATGATTTGAACGAATATATAAACCATGAAGGTTGGTTTCGAAAGAAAGATGGTTAACTTAAACCGAATTTAAATGAACCCAAACAATTAATCTTACAAGAGCAAAATAGAGTTGGAATTGATATTAAAATACAGAAATTAACACAGTGAATTCAGAGATAGATTCAGTTCAATACATCAACAAAAATCTTCAAAAACATAGAGCAAAATAATATTACACCCCATTCTATCATATACACACAGTTTGGATTGTGTACGCAGATATGGATGGTGCAGGCCATTGTGTACGTACAAAAACCCTTTAATATCTGCTGCAGATTCCATCACCATCCTCACAATGGTCACCATATCGTGGTCCATAATCATTTTATCCATAATTATTTAGGTTAAAAGATCATTGACCCACCCAAAATCAGGTCCACTTTCATTGATGTTGTACTTGTTGCCTTCAGTGAAATCCCTGCTCGGAACATCTGCATTGAAGAATGTGTTTGAACCTGCAGGATTTGGGATTGAGGGGGAGAGCAAAAATTGGGATTGTTCACAATCAAGATTGAATAAATTTCCATGTGAAGAAGCAGCTTCCTTCATATTCATGGCTTCCAAATTGCCCATAAGGCATCATTATAACTCATCCCACCAGAATTAAATTCATTCAGAGCAGAAGATTCGAGTGGACGACTTGAAAATTCCGGTGTTTTGACCTGAGAAATTGGTGGCGAAAACAGAGGGGACAGACAACAGATTAGACATTCTCATCAAAGTAGAAGTTGGAGAAGCAGTCATAGAGTGACAATGAACACACTATATTTACTTTTGCTTCCTTACCCCGTGTAAGGGAGATGGTATCTCCTCATTTATTGTGTCTTATGTACTTTTGCTACTTTGTTTGAGGTCAGATTTTCACTCCCCTCCCTTTCAAGTGGCTTCTATATATAGGTCGTGTTTGGACGCGGTGAAATGAGGGGCAAAATCAATTTTTAAATCGTTATAGCCTATCATTGTTGACTAACTCTCTCACGAGTGGGAGACAGGCTCATATTATTGTTGAAAAATCCTATTCCCCATCATCCTCATCTGGTGGAGGCTTAAAACACACTAAGGATGAGTTGATGATTTGTCCCTTAAGAAAATGTAAATGGTTCGTGACAGATGTATTCTTTACACTTAATTAGAGACTTCAAGTTTTAAAATCTTGAGTCGGATAGTCTTTATTCGGTCTAATTTGTGAAAACTTTCTTTTGTTTGTAAGATGGACTAAAACAAGGATGCTTCGGAGCCAAGCGGAGAAATTTGGGATGCAATTGAAGTAATTCAAAATGTCACAAAACTGTAATTTCATGAAAAAGAAGGCACGCCTCTCAAAAACTGAGAAGACTGCCCGCCCTCAATAAAAGAAGGTCGTACAATCGAAATTGGACTACACTTGTTTAAGAGGAGTTGTGATTTGCCATCCAATTTTGTTGTTTATCAATTAATTATTGACGCGTCATTTTATATTAAAATGTCACCTATTTTTAATCATATTATCATAAAGAGTAGTTAAAGAAAAGTTGGGCCCACAATTGCAATTTTCCCTTGATTTTTAATCATTTTAGTTAATTCTATTATTATTTGATTCTTTTTAGTTTTTCCTTTTGTTCTTCCAGGTTTCTTATGGCCAATGTATGATGTGGTCAAACCCTTCAAATTTAGTTGCTGCTAATCCAGATATTGAATGTACATTCAACTAGAGACAACGGGAAAAGGGAGAGAACAAATAAGAAACAGATTATCAGTGGCGGAGACAGTACCCGGCAAACGTTAGTTGCAGCACATGCTGACTCCGCCAGCGACAGATTTTTTTGTTGTTTCTTTTTTTTCTAAAAAAATAGATAAAAGCTCCAACGTATCTATTGCTATTCTTTAATTTAATTTTTTCTTACCTAATATAGTTGTACAAATGAAATTGAAATCAAGCTTGAAGATTTCTTCCTAGTTCCTTCAATCTTGCTTGATGGCTCATTCTTCTTTCGTTTTCTTCTCTTTCTTCTTCATTCAATTTTTTCCCATTCTTTGATTTTCTTTTCTTTCTTCTCATTTTCTCTTTCTCCCGCATTGACTCTTTGGATAGTTCTAACTTCTAAAATGGTCAGGCAATGTGTTGACTTAAAAAAAAATATTAATGGTCCACTGACTTCCTTTATTATGCCAATACCCCAAAATCTTCTTCATATATAATAACTAACCCATACATTTTTATAATTGCTAGATAGCCCACAAGAATATCACTAACTCATTTAAATCCCTTATCTTGTTATTGTCTTCTTGAAATTGGAAAATTGAAAATTGTTCTTGTTAACTTATTGTTGGTAACATTTATGCTATAACTTCGGTTGTATTTGTTTATATTTTCATATATGTACGATTTTTACGTTTTAATACATTTATATATTGATTGATTTTTATTTTTTTTTAATATTATTCAATTAAATATTAATAAACAATGGTCGTTAACAGTCAACGTTCAACGACCGACTTAGCTCACTCCAGATTCCAGATCCGCCACTGCACATCATAATGAATCCATCGAGAACAATAAAATCAACATAATCCAGCTCTATGCCGAGGGTCCCATTTTGTAAGTAGATCTCGTAAGATGATGATTGTCCTTTTGGAGAGCTCATGGTCGTGCAACAACCTTGCTGCAAATCTAGCATTGTTTCTCTTACTTCTGGACAAAAAAATTTTGAGTTAAGGCCAAATGTTATAGGGATGATGAGGAACAAGTGTGTATTCAACAAAACTACAAATGAAGATCCTCACTCATCTATCAGAATTTTTTTATACGTTGATGACACGATAACTAAAAAAATGATGAGCGGGAGGTTGCAAAGTTATGAATCGATTTGTCGGTACATTTTGAAATGGAGGACATGGAAGTACTGGGTCACTTCCTTGGTTCGTAGGTAGAAAATTTAGAGAATGCAGTTTTTGCATCTCAAACAAGGTATGCCAAACCGCTTGTAGCTAATTCGGACTGGAGCATCGAAAAAGAAGATCAACGCCTCTAGAAGCAAATTCAAGGTTGAAATGTTAAATTTATCTTTGTCCTGTTGGCTGCCTACTTTTTCTAACCATAACAGGGCCTGATATTGCTTTTTCAGTTGGACTAGTAAGTTTATTTATACAAACGTCACGAAAGCCACAGTTGGTGGCAGCAAAGAATATCTTGAAGTATGTGAATTCAACATCTGACTATGGACTATTGTACAAGAAAAATTCCGAGTTCTTACTACAAGGTTTTGCAGATGGCGATTTTGGAGGAGATCTTGATGTCCGGAGATCAACATCTGGTTATGTATTCCTGTGCAGTAAAAACAAGAGTGCATCTCACTTTCTACAGCTGAAGCTGAGTATAAAGCAGCTGCAGTTGCTGCTCAAAAAAGGGTACGGCTTCATGTGATTATTCCTAAGCCAACTTTACCTGGAGAAATCGAAATACCTTTAAGCTTGCAAAAAATACCGTGTTTAATGCAAGGACAAGCATATCGAGCTTGAGCATTATTTCATCTGAGAAAAAGTTTTAGATAGAATTATCAGTGCAATGGAGGTGCGTAGCTAAGTGAATGTTGCTGATATTTTCACTAAATATCTGTCCAAGGGACCTTTTGAGATACTTTGTGCAAAGCTTGTAGTCCCTTCAAAAAATGGGGTTAAGGGGGAGTGTTGAAATCTGTAAAGCTTATTTTTCTAACTCTAATTTATTTTTTGTCTTCAAACCGTACATCCTTTTGTATTACTATGACAACCTTCTGCGTTTCCATAGTTTTAGGTGGTTGTGTATTTCCTTGTTCTCCACAAGTCATTTATTGTATGAACTAAAGACTTTGTCAAGTCCATAAATATTTGACTGATTGTTCTATCAAAAATAGAGAAAAAGTAATGTAGTTTTAGTTGTATTGAGTTATCTTTCACTTGTTTTCATTTCTGGACTTTTTTCTGTTAATTTTCTTCATCAAGTGTCTGTTGATCTTGGGCCGTGTAAATCATTACAATGTATGATTTTCTTTCAAACAGAGCCAAAATAAAAATGTAATTCAAATTTAATCAGCGAGGATAGAGGAGAGAATTTCTTGGAATGTATGACATGTAACAGAACAGCTATATTTAACTATGCCTAGAAATCAATAGTAATGATTCTTTCTTTCAATTTTATAGGATTCACATAATATGAAAAATGTTGATCAAAATGTTTTGTACCACATACCGCCAGACACCCTGGAAATTTTTCTTTTGAATTTCTAGGAACCATACTTAATTTGACATCGAAAACTCCTGATGTATTCTCTCTGCTTAACTTGGCAATTTTCGCCCCCGAGGACATCAGTTAAGCCCAACAGAAAATTCTTTCTCCCAAGTTTTATCTTTTTTTTTATTTTATTTTTTTATCTATTTTGTACCCAACAGAACGCCTAAAACAGATTCATGCAGTCAATCCCAAATTTATTACGAACTAGGCTTAGTCTCCTAGAAGTTATCTCCAACATCATCTCAATCCAAATCAGGGTCTTATATCGAAAAATCACTCCCACTATGCTGCATATTAACTGTCATCAAATAATGCATCACAGAAATTCCATCTTAACGAAAATATATACGTTTGAACATGCTGGAATCGTGAAAAGAGGCTGTTGAAACACAGATTGAAAAGCAATCATGTATGCAAACCCACAAATTCGTTTGAGAAAATGAATAAATAAATGGAAGTTTTTACCATTTTGAATGGATGAATAAATCTTGATGCAGCAAAAGCACAAATAATTCAACGTTGAAAATTTTCTCATTCTAACCTGATCCTTTTTAAGTCCGTCTAGAGCACTTTTTATACCATTTGTAGCAAAATTTTTACCGTTATACAACGTATGTCAATCCCATATAGCTGCAATTATTGACTGGACCAAGCAAAATGACATATGTGCCCCTTCAACATTTAATTCATTCTTCTTGAAAAAAGGACATTTCTAGTATATTGTGGTAGCAATGGGACCCATGTGCACTTAAAAATGGGATAAAAATCACTCCCAGACTAGGGCTAAATAGATTCTTAAAGCTAGCATGTTCCCAGACTTCTTTTAACGATACGTTTTGAAATTTGAGTTGGCGTTATCATAAGATTCATTTAATTCATGCCATAACTTTGTTTGTGCTAAAATTTTTGTGGGTCATGTTATGGGTTAAGTCTCTCATGAGCATGTCACTTCTGTAATCAACTTTAGCCTACAGATAACATAGGCATATTTTATTTCCAAACTAATATTTTGAGCTTCATTCTTAATCTGGTTAAGTTGGAACCTACCTTGATTACATGTTAAAACAAGAGAAAAAAGACAGGAAAAGTAAACAGCAAAAAGAATACAGTTTCAGATGAACCACCAAGAAGAGGATGGATACAAGAGTCAAGAAGCAATTGGAATATGAGGACAGACAAATCTTTGACCTTTTGTTTCTAAATATATGATCATAGGATTTTTCGGGTTTCTGTAATTTTCTGGCAAGAAAAAGATTTGATTATGTATTTTTTCGGCAAACCAAAAAGATTTTTCTGGCAAGACGAAGATTATGATCATAGGAGAAGAAATGGCTATAGAATCTTGATACTACACAGTCTGAATTTGTTAAAATAAACTTAGAAAGATTATAGTCTCTATCCAAATCTTCGAAGACATATTTAGAAATGTAACAAATGGGCCAGCTGCCCTGCTTTCACCTCATCCAGAAACAGCAACACCACATTCTACTACTGCTAATTTTATAGATTTTTTGACACAATCAATGCAAACATAAAGATGATCTTAACCTTAAAGACTAGACGAAACTGAAAATGAAAAAAAGCACAATAAACAAAAAACGATAGTACAGCTGAATAATAATGCTCGCGATTCTCCTTAAAGGTGCCAAATATGAAACAAGCTTACTCTATGGACGCCCCTTCAGAAATTTAAGTACAGAATCAAACTGTACATCACCTTCAATAATTGTTAGACGTTGCTTCAATTGCTGGTTTTTGGCTTCAAGCTCGGCTTCCCTAACTCTGCTCTCTTGAAGCTCCCTTTGGAGCCTGGCTTCCTTTTCTTGGCTCTCTTTTAGTGCTTGATGGAGCTCTGCATTGGTTCGCTCCAAGTCCCCTATTGACTCCCTAGCACGTTTGCGTGCTTTTTTCCGGTTGAACCAGCTGGTGACTTGCTCCATATCCAGCCCTGTAGCCCTCACTAGCTCAATCTTCTTCTCTTTGGTTAGGTGAACCGACTCTTCAAACGCCAACTCGAGAGCATCATTCTGATGTTTCTCAAATCTTTTTGCCATGATAATGTCTCACTCAAGCTTCTCATGGTTAAAATTCCTTGGACAACTTACAAATTTATAGAAATACTTGATTACCTAGAAAGTAGAGGACGAGGAGTAGTACTAAAAGAAACTTAATCATGACAAGCAGATAAAGCCACATAAATGGCGAACTAGACTATGGTAGATTTTAAGAGCCAATTATAAGCTGCTAGAATGATGTATGTCAACTTGCGAACAAATGAATTTTAACAAAAAAATCATTCACTTTCATTCCCACAGGAGGACAACTAGTCTCACAAAGATTGGAATCTTCCTTTTCTCTTAGAAATCAAGAAAATGCGTTTGCTCATCTGAACAAATAAGACAAATTACACTGTGTGCCGGCAAGTGTTACAAACATGTAGATCTAGTCTTCCACATATTCTTGCCGAATTGTGGCCGGCCATGTCATGCTGATATCAAATAGCATCTCTATTTATTCTTCTTAGATTTTCTTTTTGAATATGGCTCTCCCAATTCTCAACAGAGCCATGGAGTTAACTCCACTCCATTTCATCGCTTTATTAATTGCCTAGTGCCTTCTAACAATCCAGTTTGATTATTCATAGAAATACATTTATGGTTCTTGCTACCATCTCCTTTAACTTCATGGAACTAATATTTTACTATTGGATGGCAACAACTTCTACTATGTTATTTGATAGATTCATGGTAAAAACTTTTGGCATGTGTAAAAGTATTTGAATTTTAGGAGCAAGGACAGAGCATAAAAAATGGTTTCAAAAGTACGTCGCTTACTAAAACAACTAAATCTATTTATGGCAATTTTCCATTGCAACGTTAATATTGTTAGAATGCTTTTGTAAACTGTTCCAGAAATGTGTGATTATAAATACATATGAAACAGTACGAGATAAAAAGGCTGTGTTCAACTCAGAAGCTAAGATAAATACAATGCAAAATTCACTATTACAATTTCCTTAGAACATCTCCATTCGTGGTGTAAAATAGATCTAAATTGTGATTTAAATCACCAAAGTGACCGAAAACCTTTCCAGTGGAGAGATGCAAAGGAATTGCAAATTGCAATTTCCGACAGAAAATGTAAAAAAAGATGTAAATTTACATTTCTTTTACGTTAACCAAAAGTGAATTTAGATATTTTTATTAGAGAAAAATTTGAATTTGGATCCAGCGGGATGTAATGAGGATGCAAAAGTGGTTTTGGAAATACCTATTTACAACCAATTTTACACTACGATTGGAGATGCTCTTAACATCTACTCCAACTTCATCTCGAATAGGATCCTGCAGAAAAATCTACTCCCTCTATGCTGCGTTAGAACAGTTATCAAATAATGCATCGCAGAAACTCTATCTTTACAAAAGTATACATACTAGAACATACTGGAATCAAGAAAAAGACTAGAAAACAGAGTCAAAAGCAAATCTACAAAAAGTACCATTGCATACACACAAACTTGTTCGAGAAAATAAAGAAAGCTATGACAGTTTTTATCCTTTTTAATGGATGAATGAAACATGAGATGGAAAGTACTGCAAAGTCACTAAAATTGTGTTAAGGGTAAAATTCACTTAAATTTGGATACTTGGTTAAGGTTTGAGACCCCAAAAATTTGAAACGAGCAATTAAACTTCAAGATTATGCTTGCGGGTGCTTCAATTGTTTTCGCCAGAGCCAGAAAAATAACAGCTGAATGGGACTCGTCCAGGACTGGATATGGAGTGAAAACCAGTGCAATATGTCCATAGAAAATAAAAGCAGCTGTTTTACTCCATATCGGGTCCTGTACAAGTCCATTCGCTGCTTTGACCCTTCAACTTGTAATGCATATGGAGTAAAAACTGCCGGAATTGCCGAATTGTGAGGCTTCCAGGAAAGTGTTGAAGGTGGAAACTTTAGAGTCCCAATTCAGTTGCCATTTGGATATATATTAGTAATCAGTTTTGTCCTTTTCTTTACAACAATTGCATGGGAGAATATTCTTGATTTGAGAAAGACTTGTTCAGGTAACCTGGTACAGACTAGTTCAGGTAACCTGGTACTCAATTTTGTGGGCTGCTAAGAAAATTGACCTTAATATTGGATATAATTTGGGTAACTGTTAATTGTACACCTATAATTTCCGTAGTTAAAGAAAATTTATGAGCCACCCCATTCTCGTGGATGGGCGTGAAGCTACACGTCCGACAACCTCCAAAGTAATTAGAGCATTTGCCGCAAGCATACATGGTAATGGGCCCTTTTTAATGACCTGCAATGCATCACATTCGGCTACCCCAATTGCGAACCCATTCACATGCACGAACAATCGTCCTTCCCCGAGCCTTAATACCTTGGCTCCATTAGATTGAACAAGATATAACTCATAGTCTTGTATAATATTGCTTAGTGCTGCGAATAAATATTATATTACTATCATGGTTTTAAATCTCATAAAACTCTTAATATTGTTTTGGAAAAAAAAAAAATAGAACTTCTGCCTATCCTTCCTTTTCAATTAAAAAACTGAAATTTTTATTGTAATGGTATTGTTTCTATAAATGCACCTCTTTACATTCGTTTTCAAACACAAAATAGACGAATGTAAGTTGGATGATAAAATTTCTGAAGTTCACATTTTGGATGAAACTGGTGTTTGATTATAAATTTCACGTGACATGACTTTTACCATTTACTCTTCGGACGTGTTTGAATTGCAGTATTAAAAAATACAATGGGAAAGATTTTAATTTATTTTTCTTTATGCTAGAATTAGGGAGTGACTCGAATTCTATTTGGAAGACTAGTTGAGAATTTTAGTTGAAGTCTATTTTGGAATTCTAGACGGAATTTAATTTGGGAGTTGATGTTTTGTGTTGGATTTGAAAAAGACTTGAAGGAGTCCAATTTGTAATAGGAGATGAAAAAATCGTGCAAGGAGAAGGAAGCAAAACATCGGCGCTCGCTACGTGCTAAGCATCCCGCTTGAGCGCTCAAAACGGGATTGCCAGCGCTCACTAATCGTCGATGATCGCTGGAGTGGCCAACCAATGCTCGACGTCACCAAACCACCGCTCGAGCGGCGATCTTATGTGCAAAATGGTCAATTTGCGATTTTGTTAAATTTTTGAATCCTATTTTACTTCAAACACTCTATTATTTTATAGACTTATTATAGTTGATGATGTGTTGTTGAGATTTAATGAGATACCCTCAACTTAGACTATGGAGGAGAGACAACGTAAGGATCGAAAGATCCTATCACAGATACGTCTTCATCTTTCGAATAATATTCTTTAGAACGTTTTGAAGGAAAAAATTATCGCTACATTATGGTTGAAATTAGAGCAGTTATGTAGACGAAAAGTTTAACCATCAAATTTCACTTGAAACAGCTATTGTATTCTCATTGTATGATTGAAGGTACATCACTAGAAGATCACCTAACTTTTTTAAGGAAATCATTACTGATTTGGAAATTTTAGAGGTTAAGTATGATGAAAAAGATTTAGGGTTGATATTATTATGTTTGTTGCTCGCTTCATACATATTTTTTAGAGATATGATTTTACATTGATACTTTCACCATTGAAGAAGTTTATGATGCTCTGTTTTCAAATGAGAAGATGAAGCATCTTGTTGGATCTAAGGTTCATGTAAATGGCATTGTGGTTATGGTGGTTATGCGAGTGGTAGATTAAGGTCTAATTACAGTAGTAAAGTCTGTAATTATTGCAAGAGATGATGGACCATTAAGAAGGATTGTTATAAGTTGCAGAGTAAGGAAAAAATAGTTGATGGAATTTAGAAGGAAAAACAATAACAAAATTCAGAGGAAGCCAATATTACAAAAGATAGCTTCAATGATGGAAAACTTCTAGTGATTTTTTACGGCGACTCCAAACTTGATGAGGATTGAATTCTTGATACCGCTTACACTTTTCATATGAGTCCTAATTAGGATTTATTTTCAACATATGAAACCGTTTCCAAAGGTGTTATGATAACAAGAAACAATTCACCTTGCAGGTTAATTGTATTGGAATGGTTAAAATTAAGATGTTTGATGGGACGTCAGGACACTTGATGATATAAGATATATTTTAGATTTGAAGAGAAACCTTATCTCATTGAGTACTCTTGATTTAAAAGGAAAAAAGTATATTTGTGTAGGTGGAGTCCTGAAAGTTAGTAAAGGTGCTCATGTTGTGTTGAATAACAAAAAAGGTTCAAGTTATATGTATTGCTTGGTTCTATAGAACCTTTGGATATTAAGTAGCAGAAATTAGGGATTCAGGTGCATTTTGAGTTTGGTATAGTACTGTTGGGCTTTAGTTAATGTCTATAATAAAGAATACATCTCAATCGAGTTGAAAAGTTATGGATAATGTCGTTTTGCCACCACCACCAACGGTGCCAAAATATTCAATTGCTAGATACCGACCCAAGAGAGATATTAGGCTTCCACAAAAGTACAGTAAAGCTTATTTAGTTGCCTTTGCTTTCGTACAGTCAAAGATATTGAGTCTAGCAAAGAATCTTCTACATAAGTAATTAGTTGTGTTGATTCTATTATAGGGCATGTTTTTGTTATTTTTGGTAATTATTGTTAAATTATTTGTGATCTTGTTGCTCATGGGATAATTCGAGAAACTTTTGGTGTCCAAGTTAATCCTATTCAGCGTGCTTGGATTCAGTTGATTTTCAATTATTAAGTTTGCCATGGTTAGGCTTTGTTAAAGAACTAGAAAATTTATTTCAGTTGGAGAATTTTTTGTGAAGAATTTTATTTTTATTATTTTTGTTGGAAGAGTTAAATTTTATTCCTTGTAATGGGGAAGTTTTTAAAGTTTTGTTCATTGCAGTGAAATTCATGTCAAGGTGGAGATATGTTAGAATTAAGGTATGACCTAAATTCTATTTCGAAGACTAGTTGAGAATTCTAGTTAAAGTCTATTTGAGAATTGTAGTTGAAATTCAATTTGGGAGTTTAATTGAGAGTTAATGATTTGTGTTGGACATGAAGAAAATTTGAAGAAGTCCAATTTGCAATAGGAGAGGATGAAATCGTGTAAGGAGAATGAAGCAATGCATCAATGCTCGCTACGGGCTAGGCATCCAGATCGATCGCTCAAAATAGGACCGCCTTCGCTCCCTAACCACCAATGGCCGCTTGAGCGATCGGCCACCGCTTGACATCCGCTAGACCGTCGCTTGAGTGGCGGTCTTATCTGAGGAATGATTAGTTTGAAATTTTGGCAGATTTTTTAATCCTATTTTTATCCCAAACACTCCATTATTGTATAAACTTGTTATAGTGAACTCCACCACATCTTAGTCTTTTCTTTGCACAATATATATAAGGAGTAAACCTCTACAAAAATCAATCATTATATTCTGCACAATAATTTGTAATTTTTCATTATTGATATTCATAAGGGTCTGTTTGATTGGAAGGATGGAATTTGGGTGGAAAGAAAATAAATTTCAGGGAATTGAATTGCCTAGAATTCATTTTACAGGGAATTGTCAATTAATTATGTTTGATTGATATAATTTTTCACTTGAAAAATGTTGAAATTTTTCATCTTTTGATATTTGATTGGCTTTAGTTTTTCACCTTTTTTTACTGCAATCTCCTTCTGCCATTGAGTTCCCACCTCCACTATTTCCACAAGTACCGGAATCCCGCCTTCCTCCACCACTGCCGCCCTAGCTTTCGACATTGATACCAGTAAAGCCGCCATTAACTCCACCAGTAGAGTTCAAAACAAAAGCCAATCTATCTACCGTATTCGACCTAAAATCTGCCATTAACTCCACCAGTAGCACTAGATTTCCCTCCGCCTCCACCAGCACCATCTTCTTCTCCTTTGAACTCCACTCTTTTCCACTCATTCTTCCGCCTCTTCCAACATCGCACACAACTGAATTTCACCAACCAAGAATATGAAGAATTAGAGGGCGACCCATACAACGTTGCTTCCCTCCCAAACCCTCACTACGACTTCACTCCCGTCCTCAACTTCTTCTCAGCCTCCCAGTTGATCGATAAGAAGCGAGTAGGAGAACCGAACTGGGGAGGTGGCGGAAGAGCAGTGACATTTCTTGGAACCCGGCGATGACCCCGACACTGGCGATGACATTGTGAGAAGAAAGAGAAAGGGAAGCGTTTGTTTTGCCGATTGCCAAGAAAATGAAAACCCACCTCTACCATAGGAAAATCAATTCCTTAATTTTGTGGAAAAACCTATCACGTGACCAGAAATGAGAAATCAAATTGCTTGGAAAATATTCGCTATCAAACAAGCCCAAAGATGGAAAATGATAAGATAATTTCCATCTTGCCTGGGAAATAGTTGCTATCAAACGGGGCCTAAGATGTTCCTCTTTTCCAGTGGAATTTTTTTACCATGTAAATCTTGTGTTCTCTATTGATTTTTATATTATCATATTATTCTCGTTTCTTTATTTAACAAACACCTCTTTAAATGTCTAATCTACTCAATCAAAGATGTCACTCGTGTCTTGCAATCTTATTAGTTATTTTCTACATTGGATAGTTATCTTGTTTGAAATTTCTACCTCTGCATTAGCTAGATTTCTTTTAGCCACCAACTCAAGCTACATTTGCCTCAGATAATTTAAATTTAATTTGTTTGAACAATTGATAAATTACATTACATATTACTAAGGATCAATTCCAATATTATTAAACGTGGTGTCACGAGTGATAGGGTGAGCATATTATTCATATTATTCTCCAGGCAAGTATAGAAAGTGGCAACATTTATCACGAGGGTTATGCACTTATGCATTACTCAACGTGTGAAAAAATTAAAATGTAACTAAAATCCATGATGCCACTGTCAACCTAACAGAGATATATAGTATTAAAATTTGAGATTACATTTTAAAATGTCAATTTTGTAATAATGAGTTGTCCAAATCCCTATATATTGATCTATATTTTGATTTTAACTCATGCAAGATTCATCTTTTAACATGCCCCCCCAAAATGGGGGGCTCGTTGAGCGCACCAATTTTGGAATCCGATTATTTATTTGAGTTTTAATCGAATCAAATTATCCATTTGAACTTAATTGACTTTGATACGATATTATGTGTCTGTTTGACATGAATTTTGAGAAGTCAAAATGAGATTTTGAGATTCAAAAGCTGCTTTTGATTATATAATTGTATGAAAGTGTTCTTTTAATTAGAAGAGTTTTTATAGGAAGTTGCTCGAATGTATTTTTTTTCTAAAAATACTTCAAAAATAGAAAACTCTTTAAAAATTGATTTTCATACAAAAATTAAAGTAGTTTTATCAGAAATGTTTTCAACAGAAAGCAAAACAAAAACCATGCCAAACGAACCCTAAAACTTGAAATTTTTATATAAAATTGTTCAACCTTCTTAAGATGAATATCTTAAATCCTTTGATACAATAATCAATATGAGATTTATCTCTTAATATAAACACATTCCCATCTTAATAATTGGTGAAACTCCCAATGCTAGACAATGATATCATGATAATAACTTTGACATAATCCCGTATGTGCCGAAAAACTTCGAAGTCATCAGCAATATTTCAATCAGAAAAAAGATGGAAGAAGAGGCAAGATTAAAAACAAAGAAAAGCGGCTGCCCACAAAACAATAATACAAAATTACAACACAACAACATCTATTATTCTCTTTTCTGGTACGAGACATCAAATCGTGAAAGGAAGTTACAATCTCCCATCAGTCTGGCCACACAACCTCCCAGAAAATTATCCAAAAACATTGTTAGTCACACAATTAAAGGAGAAGTGTGATGCTAGTCACTGAACTTCATTTTGTTTCAAAGGGATTATTTTTATGTTTTGTTTCAGTTTGATCATTCAGTAAAAATTAGTTAAATTTTCCAGCAAACTGATCCACATGAAAGAGGGCTATGTAGCGTGGAAACAAGATAAGAGTTCTTCGACGTCGGACACTCCATTAGGATAATTAACGGATTTTTAACTTTCTGACCAAAATGAATCAAAAGACAAACTCCGGTAAACCATATGGAAATTTCGTGATACTTCATTAACAATGCTTTTTACCAACCAAAAGAAGAGCTAGGAAGATGAATGTTCTGAGTAGAACCCATGCACACCAGAGGAAATCAAACTGTGAATCACCTTATACACTTATTTCATGCCTAAAATATCGATATTTAGCAATTCTTTTGACAAAATATATCCTAAATTATTGTATTTTATATTATATAGGTTAAACTCAATGATTGAACGAGAAATTGGAAAAAACAAAAACAAATCAAGGGAAAATGGCAAAGTCTAAAATTTGAGGACCAAATTGTAAATTCAATAGTTGATTCGGACCATGAGATGACTTGAGTTATTAAGTCTGTTAAGGTATTTACAATCTGGTGCCCTAAAATTATCTGATTTGAGAGTCATCGACCAAAAGCTCGTTAC